CGACTGCGCCACCCAGGCGCCCCAACACATGCTTTTTAAATTGATAAAGTGTTACCAGCAGGAAACATAGCATCAGAAATCTACTAATACCTGGTTAATATGTTCTACACAACCATTGACCTCTAGGTGGTAAAGAGTGAATAGGTTGGTACAAGGGTAGGAGGTCTTGAACAATAGCTCTCTACATCAAAACAAAACAAAATGAAATAGAGGAAACAGACATAAGCAGCCATTTAGTCCATGGAGGTAGAAAACCTTATTGCCAAAACATGTAGCAATGGCTGATATAGCAATGGCAGGTACTGATGTGGTATTGCAGCTGCAGTGCAAGTAGGAATTATGCTGATGTTACTATGTCCCAGAAACATTTTCAAGCAGTTAAAGCTATCTTTAAGACCACTTAAGCTAATGCTTGACTCAGGACCAGTTTTTTTCTGGTGATTGAATGCTTAAAGTTTTTATGTAGGTGCAGTACTAACAAACATCTTGGGAGACAGGACAATTGAAGTCTTGAACATTTGATGGCAACCACTTAGGGACATATTATTGAAGGGGTGAGGTACATGATTGCCCAGGAAATGTTGAGACGACCATCTTGCTAAAAAAAAAAAAAGGCGTTCCAAAGATTCTTTGCTTCCTTGGGCTGTCCAGAATATCAGTAGGACATGACTGCATGTAAGTATCTACCTGGTTCCTATGTGGGCTCTTCTCTATTGGTTGTAGCTGAGGACATATGACTGTAAAGATCTAGGGAAAACCCAGGCCTGAACTTTTTCCATGCTAAGGCTCCTAGTGTAAAGCTAGATGCTGTGACAAATAGACCCCCAAATATTTAATGTCTCAAACATAGAAGAAGTTTAATTCTCATCCAAATAACAGTACAATGCAGGTGTTCTTTGTTGGCAGGTGACTTCTTTCCAATATAGGGATTTGGGGACCCATATCATAAGATATGACCATCTTATGCCTCTGTCTTCTTCTAGGACACTGCCATCATCTGCATCCATCTATACAAGTGAAAAATAACATGAAAGGCATATATTTACTTCTTAAAAGCCTTAGCCTAGAAATGGCACATGTCACTTCCTCTTACATTTCACTCCTTAGAATTCAGTCATATGGCTACAGTTAGCTCCAGGGGAGGCTATAAAATGTGGACTAGATGTTTTTTGAATAAGAAAAGGAAATAGATTTGTGTTGAATAGCTGGCAGACATAGACACTTTGTATTCTGTCTTCTAAAAGAGGTTTAGAACCTATAGTATTGGCTGCTTGCTCCATAAGAGATGGTACAATAAAACTTTAATAGAAAGTGCCCACTTTACTAGTGTGGGCTGAATTTCCATGTCTGTCTTAGCTGGTTTAAGCTGCATTTGTACTAAATGACTTGTCATGGGTGCCAGGCTTTTATGCTTAAAAGGCACCTTTAATGGTTAATAGCTGCCAATTCCACTAGGGATAATTTAACCTCAGCTTACATCACCCTGTTGGAGAAGTAGACTCATATTCTAAGCCAGTGTACTCCATCTCAATAAATGTCCCACTGTAGTCTCAATGCTCAACATAGAATAATTTGTGATTTAATCCTTTTCCTTATTTCCCACATGAAATGTAGGTACAATTTGTGAAATATATTTAGAATATATATATCTTTGTATATCTGTGTAAACATATTAATAGGGTAAGTTTCTATTATTAATAATTTATTGATGGTCAAATTCATCAGCTACTTTTCTGTCTTCATCTTCATTTGACTTCTCTAGTATTGATAACATTTTCCTGAAATTCTTTCTGTCATTTACCTCAGTTTCCTGAAACTCTTTCTGTGGTGTTCATAATATTGTTCTAAACAGTCTTTTCTCCACTTCCCTGGCCTTATTTCTAAGTCTATGTAGGATGTTCTTCCTTTTACCATTTTTTAAATGTTGATATTTTCCTGTTCTCTTTTTGTTCTGTAGGCTTTCCTTGGGCTATCTTAGCCACTCCCATTAATTTCATATACCATGCTTTGCATGTTTACAGTTCCTGAGTTTATTTATCCATCTAGATCAGACTTCTTTCCTGAGCTCCAAACCCTGAATATCCAACTGTCTTTGGAATAGTTCCACCTTGATGTCCCACAGGCACCTCATTCTTAACAATTCCCAAGCTGAATTAATTGGCCTTCCTCATCACCAAAATTTTGTTTTTTCATCTATTTTAGGTCAGATTCTCTAAAAGTTGGGCCTGAGAGGAGATTCTTGTTCAGATTACTCATTGCTTCAAGAGAAAGGGAGTGAGGGAAGCAGCATAGGGCAGAAGTAATAGTTCAGCAAGTATGTGATCTCAGCTGGAGACTAGCTTCAGTGTGATCTCATGGGGAAAATGCTGGAGTGCAAGTTATATCAGGAGTCCCACCTTGAGGCCAGGGAGTTGGACTTTTGTACCATTCCCAGGGAGTCAATCATTGGCTAAGGTCTGTGGGTGGGACAAAACCTTTAAGGTAAGTTGGCTTCCATTTGGCTTGGACCCTAGGACAATTTTCCTGAGAATGGAACAGGTGTGAGTTATCAGCCAACATTCACAGCAGCTGAGTGATGCAAGTAAAGGGGAAATGGGTGGGACACCAACATATCCATTACTACACCATCCCTGAGTCCCCTATATCAATATATAGAACTGCTATCTGCCCAGGAATCCAGGTAGAAATCTGGAAGTGATCATGGAGCCATTTTCCCTCTCATCCCCTTTAAATAGTAAGAATAGTAGATAGCAATTATTGAGTGCCCATAATATAAATTTCAAATACCGTATCAAGGTTGTCAAAGACCCATGGAATGTGGTTCCTGTCTCTCTCTCTCCAGTCTTTTGTCTCATATTCTTTCCCTTACACTCTGTTATGGCCACCCTAAACCTGTTTCAATTTCCTCAACATAACATGCTTCTACTCTCAGCCCCTCCCACCCTGTCACCTTCATCTGGTCAACCCGTATTTGTCCTTCCTGGCAGTCAAGACATTACCTCCTCACGGAAGGCTTCTCTGATCCTTCAGGCTGAATTATCATCTGAGCTCCCCCAGCATGCCATGCAACCTTCCGTAAGAATACATTTCACAGTAAAATACAGCTGTCAGCTTATTTTTCTATCACCCCTCTTTGAATGTGAGCTCTTTTCATTTTGTGTATCTCTGCATCTCTAGCATGTATGTAGTCCAGTGCCTTGGACATGTGGGCACACACTGAATGCTTTTTGCATTAGTGAAAAAATTAATGATGCAAAGGGAAAATGTGGTAAAAATTCTAGATGTTTCTTCTGAAACAAGTTTTATAGAGTTTGGCCTGATGTTTATGTAGGCTATTTGTTTTAATAGACACTGGAGAGATGAATATCCACAAATAGACAATCTGTTATTGTATTAAACTTCTTTAGTTCTTCTGGCTCACTGAGCTCCATTCCAGAGTCCTCAACGAATCAGGAAGAAGGCCACAGACCTAATTTTCACGTAGAATATGCTAAGATAGATCTCTCTCTAAAATCTCCCTCTGACCATTGCGTTAATTTTCTATCACTGCCTATGATACTGTATATATATATATATATATATATATACTACATATATATAATATATTTATAATATATATATTGTTCTCATCCTTATTTCTAGCACACAGCTCCTAAAACATTTGGAATTCCCTAAGTGAGGAGAATGGTAAAGGTGTATTTTATTATGTTAACGAGATGTTTGGAGTACATCTAAGGATGGTAGCTGGTTGCCAGGGGAACCAAACACGTGATTAGAAGGTTGAGGCTTTCAGTCCCACCCCCTTGACAATTGGGGAAGGGAGAGGGGCTGAAGGTTGAATGAATCATGAATGGCCCATGATTTAATCAATCATGTCTATGTAATGAAGCCTTCATAAAAACTTCAAGGGACAGGGTTTGGAGAGCTTCTAGGTTGGTGAACATGTGCAGATTTGGGGAGAGTGGCACATGCTTGGAGAGGGCATGAAAGTTCCACACCTTTCCCCTATACCTTGCCCTATGCATCTCTTCCATCTAGCTGTTCCTGAATTATATCCTTTTATAATAAACTGGTAAGCTAGTAAGTAAAATGCTTCTGTGAATTTTGCGAATCACTCTAGCAAATTATTGGAACCTCCAATCTATTCCTGGTTTGTCAGAAGCCCAGGTGACCTGGATTTGTCACTGGTGTCTGAAGTGTGTGTGTATGGGAGCAATCTTGTAGAACTGAACCCTTAGCTTGTGGTATCTGATGCTATCTCCAGGCAGATATTGTCAGAATTGAATTATAGGACACCCAGCTGGTGTTGAATAATTGCTTGGTTATGTGGGAAGCCCCTTTCCCCAACAGACACAGTGGAATTGGCGAGCAGAACCTTTATGGCCATACCAAAATAGCACAGACTTAGTGACTTAATACAACACCCATTTATTATCTCAGTGTTCTGTAGATCAGAAGTCTATGTGTACTCAGCTGGGTGCTCCACTTAGTATCACACAAGGCTGAAGTTAAGGTGTCAGTCACGCTGGACCCTTATTTGGAGTCTCTGGGGGTAAATCACTTCTAGGCTCAGTCAGATTGTCAGCAGAATTTAGTTCTGTACAGTTGTAAGACTGAAGTCCCTATTTCCTTGCTGGGTGTCAGCTGAGAGCTGTCTGCAGCTTCCAGAGGCTGCCCATATTACCTGACTTGTAGCCTCCTTCCTCCATTTTCAAAGTCAACAATGGAGTGTTGAGTCCTCACACTTTGAATCTCTCTGACTCTTGCTCCTCCCTCCTCTTCTGGTTTGAAGGACTCATATAATCAGATTAGGCCTACTTTTTGCAATATAACATAACAATCACAGGACTAAAATCAGAGATTGGAGATAATGGGGGCCAAAATTCAGCTTATCACAGCAACCATTCATAGGAAGAATGAAGAGAAGGGTATGTGCTCTAAACTCTAGTCCCCAGTTGTGACAGGACAGTTGTGACTTTTCTCTCTCCCTCTGTTTCCAGATGAAGGACCTACGTCATGAAAATATTAACCCTTTATTGGGCTTCTTCTATGATTCAGGAATGTTTGCCATTGTGACAGAATTCTGTTCCAGAAGGAGCCTAGAAGACATATTGACAAATCAGGATGTGAAACTTGACTGGATGTTTAAATCATCACTTCTGTTGGATCTCATCAAGGTTAATGGAAAGACTGAGGAAATTTTGGATTTTCCCTAGAGATTAGAATTTAAATGTTTTTGGGATGTTTTATTTTCCTTGGGTCATTGTGATGATCTCACTCTTCCACCTTCCTACCCATGGTCTGCCCCCATCCCTTCTCGTAGTCCCTTTGTCCATATCTATTATAAGGTACTGATATAGAAAAGGTTTACTCTTCCCACCCCTGTTCCTCAATTTGAGGGCCAGATTTGTCTTTACTTCCTGTTGCCATTGAGCACTCTTTGCCTTAAGCAATACTTTCTTCCATCCTGTTTCTCTGCGTTCTGGATGTGGAAAAGTACTCATTCCCAGATCCTTTGGTGCTGCTTAGCTTCATCTCCTGGTTCGCCTTCTAAAAGGTGCTTCAGTCTAGAAGTAGGTGACAGGTCTTTACATACCATTGGTGTAAATATAAAACTCAGCATGACCAGAAAGCCAAAAGACCATAGGGTCTATTGGGCAGCAACTCCATTCTCTGAGGCAAGGACTATTGACAGCTAAGGGGGTTCATGGATGGGTCTATGTATTGGCTTTAGTGCAGTCCTTGAACTCCTTGGAATAATATGCAAATTTTATCTACATGCATTTTTATGGAGCTGAACTGCTTAATCAATGATTTGTTGAGCTTCCTGCATATTGACCAGTCTTGACCTTTCTATTGTGGCCTAACCTTTTTCAAGGTAGTTTTACAGACATTATCGCATTCCAATTGTCCATAAAATAAATGTGATTAGCCTCCTTTTACGGAGGTTCAGAGAAGCTAAATGAGGTATACTTTGTTATATAGTGTCTGCCATACATAGTAAGTGCTCAATAAATATTTATCAGCCAACTATTAAGTGGCAGAGCTGATAATAGAATCCAAATCTCCTGATTTCAATTCTAGTACTCTTTCCACTCATCCTATAAGCAAGGTCCCGTGAGTTAAGGGAGAATCTTCTAAATGACGGTCCTCTCAGGCCCATGATAAATGAAAGCCAAGCATTAGACAACCTTGGGGGAAATCTCACCCACTGCAGACTTGGCTTGGAAGTACTGGGGACTGCAGATTTTCTGAGGGCACAGGATGTAAAGCATACAAATACAAAGGAGTGTCAGGCCACAAAATAGAGCAACGTACTTAAAAGGGCTCAGCATAAACAGTTCTGAGATGATTGCACTAGAATATGAATTGCATTTATATGTGAATGAATAAACCCATCTGATAGAGTCCTGGTGGATTACATTTGAATGTCATATACAGTTGCCCAGCAAGCTGCAAAGATCAGCAGTATTCAGCTTTCATGTTATATTTTTAATTACAAAAATAACGTATTAAATGAAATTTAAAATCACATGATATAAATATATATGGGAATACATTGACATTTACTCAACCCTCTTTCACATCTTCCCCCAAAGTTAACCACTGATGACAATTTGATGATTAACCTTGCAATTCATTTCATGTGTATTTACATATATTATAGATTTGGTTGTTTTTAAAAATATATGCTGTCACATAGTTTTGCATCTTAGTATTTTTCACTTACTTTATGGCTTAGAGATGATTCCCTGTTCATACATATGGATCTATTTTATTGCTGTTAACTGCTGGAGAATATTCCACAGTTGGGATGCACCACAATTTGGACAGTTCCTTCTTGATACATATTTACTATAGTTTTAATGATATAATATTATAAAGCAGAGCTGCCTTGAGCATTCTGGTGTATGTCTCCTTGTGCAGATGTACAAGCATTTCTTTAGAGGAGAAGCAGAATCCTTAGGTCACAGGGTATGCATGCTTTCAATTTTGATACCTGTTGCCAAATTGCCCACCAAAAAGGTGAACCTATTTTCATTCCTGCCAATGGTGGATGAAAGTTGGGCTAGACCTTTTGGGGGGAAATCAGAATCTTTCAATTCTTGGAAATTATGTATGCATGGATCTATCCTATGTTTGAAATGTCAATAAATCTCCCAATAACAGACACTTCTCTATACATACAAGATACATTTATTCATCAAAGCATAAAATTTTAGAGCTGGAAGGGACCTGGAAATAATTCTTGTCAAAATTTTGCTTTGCCTGCATATAAGAAAAAAGGGCTGAATTCTTGACTATAATAGCTCATACCATTAACAAGCTCAGACACTGGCTTCTAAAAGCACAAAATAGTTAAATTAGTTACTAAATAAATCCTGTTTGTATCATCTGCAGGGCATGAAGTACTTACACCACAGAGAGTTTGCTCATGGGAGGCTGAAGTCTCGGAACTGTGTGGTTGATGGGCGTTTTGTACTAAAAGTGACAGATTATGGCTTTAATGATATCTTGGAAACACTAAGACTCTCCCAAGAGGAACCTTCTGCAGAAGGTAAGCAATGTATTATGCCCTTCTGATGCATACAAGGTAACTCCAAAATTCAAATGAGAATACGCACTGAATTAAAGCCTCAGGCCGATTCAACTACCCACTTTTGTTGAAAATTCAGCCTCATTTCCAAGCCAAAGGAGTTGAATGAAGTCTGCAGGCTGTAATCTCAGCACAGCCTACCCTTCAGAACAAAGCCAGTGCAATAATGTTGAGTTCCTGCTGTGGCAGGATTAAGCAGTATTGTTTGGAGACCCCAGGAGTCTCTGGAGGAACTTGCTGAGCTATAGGCACACAGTAGGTACTCAATAAATACCTGTCAAGTTGAATGGAAGGTAATTTGGTAGCTGGACCCCCACGAAGCACATGCTGGAATGGGATGTCACTAGAGCCTACCCTCACTGTCTCAGTCTGAGAGAAAGAAGCAAGGAGAGGGCTCCTAACAAGTAAATACTCTGTGGGTTGTGTGGGATGGCTTCAGACAGAAGTATGGCCTTCTAGTAAATAAGTAGGCATGCCTGTAAACTCCCGTTTTGTGTTTTTGCCTTCTGTTTAGGGCCCCGGTGGCAGCACCAAACAATGCCTGTAGGGGTCATAACAGATCAAAGAAAAAGGAGAAATCTGAGATGGGGAATTGGGAGTGGGTGAGTGAAAAATAGGAGGGAATGTACTGATGGAAGAGAAGAAGGAAGAAAGAGAGAGTAGAGAAGGAGAGAATGAACTGAGTTAAATACATATAGGAAACTTGGGCATTAAAGGTTTTGACCAGCACTGCAAGGGTGAAGAAGAGAGTGACATAAAAACACAGAGAAACCGACAACCCCAAAAAGGCAGACAGAGGGACATATCAAGATTACAACATATACTCATATTCTTAAGAGTCTGTGGCATTGGAACTTTTCACACTGCAGACTTTACTACATAAGAGAAACGAAAACTGAAAGACACAGGGAGGACACATGCATACAGACAGACAGACAGCTCAGCCATCAGTGGCATCATCTTCATGCTCTATAAAACTTATGGAATACTGAACTTTAGGGAGGCATCTAGTCCAACTTTCTCATTTTACAGATGAGATCACTGAGACTCAAGGTTTGCCCAAGTCCTGCAGCTACTTAGCAGCAGTGCCAGGAATTCAATTCAGGTTTTTGGAAGACTGGCCCCTACATCTAGCTAAATTATGGCTTATAATAACATTTTCCTTTCTCTGCCCATCCATACTTTGGAGGACTTGAAGCTCCTGGTAATCACAGTAAAAACCATGTGATATTCTCTCTTTCTCTCTCCGCCCCCCACCCCCTTTCTGTGGACCTGTTCTTGTTGCCAACTTAGTCTTATGGTTATTGTTTGGCTAATTCCAATTTGAAATCTTGAATAGTTGCCTGGTGTTAATGCTGAGGATGTTGAGGACAACGGCTGCAGATTGGCTAGTACTTAGCTTCCTGTCACTATGAGTCATCTATAAAAGATAAAACACAATGACCAGCCACCCAGAGTTCCACTTAATTCACAGGTTGGCAACTTGCAAACTTAAGAAGCTCTGGTATTAGAGTGGGGAAAAGATAGTGCGTGTGTGTGTGTGTGTGTGTGTGTGTGTGTGTGTGTATGTATGGATCCGGTCTGTCTCTTGCTGTCTCTCCCTCTTACTGCTTCATTTCACTCTCCAAATTGCAATGGCAGTCTGGATGCTCAAATCCACTCTTCACGCACTGCAGCCAGAGGGGAGTTTTCTCAACTGCAAATCTGATCATGTTACAGCTGTGCCAAAACTCACTGAATGGCTTCCCATTGCTCCTAGGATAAAGTTCAAATTCCTTTACATGGCTTATGAGCCCTGTGTGGTTTGGGCCTTGTGGACCTCTCGTGCTTAATCACTCCCTCTCCACATCTGTGCTCTAGCAGTACTGAGCTCCTTCCAGTTTTTTACCCCAGGCTCTCTCTTACTTGCAGGTCTTCACACACGCTGTGCCCATTCCTTGGGATACTCTTCCCTTCCCAGTCTGTTATACACTCCTCTGAGTCTGGCTAAATTCTACTCTTTCTTCAGGGCTTAACTTTAATACCACTGATTTAAGAGACTTTCCATGACCCCCTTTGCTCAGCTAAGCTCCTCTCTTTATGATCCTTAGGGCTTTAAACTTTGTTGTTTTTTTATATTAAACATTTAAAAATGTTTATTTATTTTTTGAGAGGGAGAGAGACAGAACGCAAGCAGGGGAGGAGCAAAGAGAGAGGGAGACACTGAATCTGAAGCAGGCTCCAGGCTCTGAGCTGTCAGTATAGAGTCCATCGTGGGGCTCCAACTTGTGAACCGTGAGATCATGACCTGAACCGAAGTCAGATGCTTAACCCTGAACCAAGCAGGTGCCCCTGAACTTTGTTGTAATACCATACTTTAAAAACATTTTTAAAAAATGTTTATTCATTTTTGAGAGACACAGCATGAGCGGGGAAGGG